CCTTTGTTGTGCTCTCTTATCGTTGGTGTTTGTTTATATGGCGCAGTGGCAGCATAGTGTCGTAACGCCCATGGGGCACTCAAACGCTTTTTGAGTCTGGCAAGAGTCTGGCGTTGACAACAATGAGATATGGTTGCGACAGCACGCTCGACGTCAGCGGAGACGTCTGGAACTATAGATCAATGATTTTTTTTTAAAAGGAACAACGAGAAACTAACATGTAACTTGGATGAAGCGTAAAAAATGGTAGTTACTTAATGCTATAAAAAAGGGGAGCCTACTGGCACACCGATGGTAGTGCAAGAGACAAGGGAAGGAGAAATGGACGGAAAGAGAGAGAGTTTAGTCTCTTAGGAGTGTTTTTTTTTTCTTACGTCGAACCAACAGTTAAAACGTCTTTCTCTCTCTCTCTCTCTCTTATTGACAAAGTAAGAGAAGGCAGTTTGCTAGTTTAGACAGAGATATATGGATGGCTGGAGGACGTTTATTTGTAGTCCTGAGAAACGAGACTAGCGAGGCGGTGCCACTTTCTCTTCACGTGAGAAAAGTGAACACCTTTATTAACCCGTCAGACACTCGTAATCATGGTTTTCCAGCCGAGTTTTGTTGCCTTCTCCGCGAACAGTCGCTATGCAGTTAACATTTCGCGCGTTGCAGTGACGTAACCACTGCGCAAAATGTGGCACGTATGTAAGATGGATCGAGTCTATTGATTAGATCGATCGAGAATTTCGTATACTGAAGTGGTACAAAGGAGGTTCTCCCAAATAAGGCGTCGACTACCACTTGTAGCTTAACGAAGTAGCACGTTTACCGACAGGGGAGGATTCTTTTTTATTTATTTAGTCAGTCAGTTACTTAGTTAGTTAGTCAGTTAGTTAGTTAGTTAGTTAGTTAGTTGGTTAGTTAGTTAGTTAGTTAGTTAGTTAGTTAGTTAGTTAGTTAGTTAGTTAGTTAGTTAGTTAGTTAGTTAGTTAGCGTGAAAAGTCTACTGTCGAAGAGTAACAAATTCATCCTCAGCGTACTTGATGCGTAATCGTATTTCCCGGTATCGTATCAACAGAATGTGTGTATCTTAGCCTGGGTAGCCACAAGGATACAGTGGTTCACAGTTACGCCCTTTATCCTGCATAATAATCGTCTCGTATAGAAGTCGTACTGAGCCGGGAATCGCTTCGCTCAAAATCTTTTAAATTTCCAGTTCGCCTTCACACTCGCCTCAAGTGATAGTTGCATACCTCCTTCGCTTCCTTGTTCTACGTAATTTCAGTTAAGTAAGAAGCAGTAATGGCCAATCAGTTTATTTACTCGCGCAGTGCCTCATTCGTGTTTACGAATGCGTAATTTAGGATGCAGGTGCTCTCTAAAAGCTCTCTTATGTGTGCTCTACAGAAAGAAAAAAGTACATATAAATGGGTGTTCGGTGCGTACCATCATGATGTCGCTATGTGAAAAAAAAAAAAAACTTGCAAGAAGGGAAAATACAACTGCACAAGGTAATGATTTGATTCCAGCTTTTCAAACAGCCCAGAAAATAGCTTCGCGTCGGAAAAACGCCCACTTCGTGCGAAGAACGCGTGATTTTTGCGTAATAACTGAACTACACCCTTTGTTTCTCGGACTTTAATTGACTTCGTTTTGTTATTTTCTTTTAATATTGTAATCCCGCCACTTCTCTAAAAGGGACCATTAGTTTTATCGGCACGTCATTCTCGCTTCTCCATCGAATTGGAAATATCGTTGCATCGCATTTCGTTGTTTTGCGTAACACACTTCCTTTGCTAAAGGAGTGCGCGAAAATGACTTTAATAGACTATACGCATTTCGAGTAATGGATAATTTTCGCTGATAATTAAATATGAACATACTGCATTTAAAGAGTTTCGTGCCTTTTTTGTTCTCGTCGTTGGTGGAGGATTTCGTTGAGTCGTTGTTGTTGCAAAAGCCGCGGCTCGCTCATCGTGGAGGCAGAACACCGCACGTTTCGAACTCGTCTCAGCTGCCATTTCGGCAGTGCCGTGTTATGCATTTACTTGATCTGTTTATTCAGACGATTTACTTACGCTATAGCTCACGCGTTTTCTCACTCACTTAATTCTACACTCCTTCATTCATGCACTCCGCTCTATACTCCCTCACTTTCTTTCTCGCTCGCTCACTTACTCACTCACTACACTCTACCACTCACACACTACACTCTACCACTCACACACTACACTCTACCACTCACACACTACACTCTACCACTCACACACTACACTCTACTACTCACACACTACACTCTATAGCTCTCTCTACTCCCTCACATACGCTTTACACTTTTTCACTTGCACAATCCTCTGCCTCACTCTCATAAGTCTGTCTCACTTTGCATTATTCAAACGATTACTCTAACTCACCCGCTCTCTTTACTACTTTATACCCGTTCACTCCACCTCAGCGATCTCTTCACTCTCACTCTACTCACTCACTCGCACACTGGTTCGCATACGCGCGTTAACAAGTTCGATATCGTTGACATTAACTCGCTTCTATTTCCATCTTCTCTAAGTTTTGTTACGTGCGTTCCAGCGAGACGTTTTCCTCGAGCGAACCAGTGGCGTGATACTACTACGAAGGATGCCCTTTGCCGAGGTGTATAAATTACCCGTCTTACTCTCTCTCTTTCTCTCTTTCTCAAATTGACGATTGCAGACCCAGACCCAGACCCGCAGTTTCCCGGAACCGAACAATTTCTCCGGGCTTCCGCTCGAAGATTGTTTTCGTTCGGTTGAACAAATTTTACGTGTCTGGCTCGGTGGAAACGGGGTGACTGTTTTCGTTCGCGAACAAAGTTCCTCGGGTCATGTTCTAGCACTACCTGGGCGTGGTTTCGAGGTTTGCTCGTCAGCACCGTTAAATGACGAGGACCGAGTGTTTCACACTCCTGACTTTCATGTATTTACTCACTTGTTTTACTCCTAATTGTGTTTTTATAGCACGGACTGTAGTGCTTCATGCTTCACCTGATATTTTTGTTTTTTCCGGCAAACTCTGGGAAAGCTTTTTTTTATTCTCTCTGAGTTTTCTAATCCACCTAACTATGATGTTCCCCATTGCCAATTACCGCAGAAGCACGCGCGTATTTCCGGAAGTGCTTATACAGACATCCTGAGGAAACTTGTTTACGAAGGGAAATGATTTCTTTTCCTGAAAGTTCGGCGTTGTGCTCCTTTGTCAATATTTTGTCTATGTCGTTCGTGATTTTTGCGAAATGCAAGGTTACTCAACGAAAAATACGACTGGTACGTGTTTTGTCTTTGTGTGTGTGTGTGTGTGTGTGTGTGTGTGTGTGTGTGTGTGTGTGTGTGTGTGCGTGCGTGCGTGTGTGTGTGCGTGTGCGTGTGCGTGCGTGCGTGTGTGTGTGTGTGTGTGTGTGTGTGTGTGTGTGTGCGTGCGTGCGTGCGTGCGTGCGGGCTCGCGCGGAGAAAGTCAAACCGACAATCTTGCTCGCGCTTCATAATATTTCAATCTTGAGAGTACGCTTCAAACAACGGTGAATAATTTTGTTCTGAACCCATGTACTGACACGGCAGTGTGTCCCGAGTGAAAAATCAGCTTTGTGTTCTCTTTTATGTGTTTTTTAATAATTTCTGTTACCTATTATGGGGTGATGACCAGCACTCTAGTGGTTGCGGAACAGTTATAGTTAGCACGAATATGTTCAGAAAAACTTGTATTGGCGAAATACCCTATATGAACCACAAAACATTTTAACAGTATTTCAACGTTGATCATAAAATATTTTCGATTAAAGAAGGCCCTGTAAGATCTCGCTTCTTGCCGACCAGCAATGGGCCGTCCAGCAGACCACGAGGCGGCATCTGATTGATTGATTGATTGATATGTGGGGTTTAACGTCCCAAAACCACTATATGATTATTCGAGGTGGCATCTGGTCTTCCCGGTTCGTCCGTACGTGGTAGATGCCCGCTACGCGCTGAGCACGATCTGCGGGACAAAAAAAATGTTTTTTTCATTACATCCCAACGTCGGATCAAAGCAGCCGGCGCCTGTACGAGTTGTTTGGAATTTTGCTCACATACTCATTTTTGCACTGCACAGGGATACCGTTTATGAAATGCAATTGCCTACAAGGACAGAGTTCAGTGCTCTCATACTTCTCGTGTCTGAGCATGTTTAGTATTCTTTTTAGGCCTATAGTCGGCATTTTTTTTTTTGCTAAAAGAAGGGGGAGGGGGGCATTTGCTGAAGGCTTTGATAATATGAAAAAAATATCCATTATCATTTGTTTTTTTAGCAAAGCACGCCCCTCCATCATGATTTCAAGTGAGGGGGAGGGGGGCTAGGGCTGCTCTTCCCCACTTCTGGCGACGGGCCACATTCATACACCGAGATTTCATCAATCTTGTAGCATTTGTTGTTCATATTGCACATGCTTTTACTTTTCTTGGAGTTGGTGCTACAGTTTGCCACATGAAGTCTTGAATCGTTATTTCGTTTCAAACGTCTCAGCGACAGAAATTTAAACTTACAGTTACTTAACTTTCTCGAAATTGAAAAGAAATGTCTTTTTTTTTTTTAGTAAGGCCAGACTACCAACACAGAAACCCGTATGTCGCTGCGATGTGTGGCGTCCTATAAAAAAAAGTGTGTGTGTGTGGGGGGGGGGGGGGGGGGATATGTCTGGGTAAACAGTACTTTGAACGTTCCGGAGGAAACATTTTGCTGCTAGTAGTCGAGGCTAGAGGTCTTGTCCAAGATCACGGTAGTAAAAAGAAGAAAAAAAACAAAGTTTGACCCTCTCATTCAAGAAAAGAAACTGAAAAGTAAATCAAAGCTCCTGCAATATCAAACTGTTCGTTTTCCTGTTTGACAGCGGCAGAAACTGTTCTTTCCTTGGGGGTGTCTTTAGAACTTTCGATTTTTTTTCTGTTTAACTGAACGCATTACAAAATCTTATCCGCCCCCCACCTTTTTTTTTCTTATATGTCTTTCAGAATCATCCTGGAGTCTGCATATTCTCTTCACGACAGTGCCTTCTTTAGCAATATCGGGACTATCCTGTTGTTCGCAGTGCTGGTGAGTATTTGAGAATTTCTTTTATGCACTACTGGGCACCTTTCAGTGTTATTGCTGCGGCTTACTCAAACGAGAGGCTTCACCTGCGTACTGTGCTAAATAGAAGATACCGCGTGGCTGCCCGTCATCGTTCCGAAAGGAAAAAGAAAGCGCTGTTTTTTTTTTCATATATTCAAAGATACCGGGCTGATACAGCGTTTGTGACGTCAAACGCCGAACTGTTGCGTTAGTTGAAAGAGTGACTTTTTTTCTCTTCCCATTCCTCCTCTGCAGGGTAACTTATCGGGCTATGTCCTGGTTGATTACTTCTCGGCCCTTCTTTCATTCTTATTTCCTCTCGCTTTCTCCTTTTTGCAAACGCAGATACACGCAAACTTGCTGACGCTCATTCACTGACACTCACTCACTCACTTACTCATTCATCTATCCTCTTTCAGACCCTTTTCCCCACCCCCGTACAGGGTAGCAAACCAGTTCGTCTAGGTTAACCTCCCTGTCTCTTCCTTTTAATTATTTCTCTCTCTCTGTCTCTTCCTTTTAATTATTTCTCTCTCTCTACTCATTCGCTCGCTCACTCACATCTTCTATTTCAGTGAGCGTATTTTCGAAGTTGGAGTATCTTCATATTTCTAAGGCACGTGACCTCCCGAGATGGTCTAGTGGTCACGCTGCGTGGCTGCCGACCCGAAAGCCGAAGGTCGTGGAAAGCCGCCGTTTGGGGTCGCCCTCAAATAGAGGCGAAATGCTACGAGCCCGTTTGCTTTTCGGTGCACGTTAAAGAACCGCAGGAGGTCGCAAAAGCTGGAGCCCACCAATACGGTGTCTCTGATAATCATATTGCGGTTTTACCACGCGATATCCCTATTATAGTTAAAAGCTAACGTGGTCCACTGCTTTTATTTAGTTTATCCTGCAATGCCTACATACATTACGGTGGGCCAGGCTTGTAAAAAGCTGGTAACAGTTGAAACTCAACAACAGATTGCGTGACTTCTCTTTAGCATGAAAGGAAAAGTGTATGAAGCCGTGAGGACGAACAACGGCACACTAGAACGTTTGCTCTGGAAGCAAACGAAAAACTTGCACGTGGATGAACCGTATTTGCTGAGCAAACTGTTCCGGGCACTCAGGGTATGTTTAGGCGGCCGAACAAGAGCGCAGGTTCGCTTTATCTATTTTGCTAGGCAGGTGCGATAGCGCCCCGTTTTTCTTTTGCTGACTCAGGAGGGAGGTAATGAGACAAAACGAGCAGCGTTTCACGCGGCACGTATCTTATAGCTTACCTTGAGTTTTCTCTTTTTTTTTTTGTCTGCATATTGAGCATTGGACTCTGCTACCATATTGTTTGCACTCACCACGGCGAAAACTGAATTAGCTGTGCAAATTAGTTCTCCTTAAAAATTAAATCAAGTTTAGGTGGGGTGCTGTCTATTTCTTTCATTCCACCTTACTTTGCATGTGTGAGCATGTGAGGGGAGTGTCGTAACAAAACATTACGTCATGTCCCGGTAAAGGTAACTCTACGTAGATGCGAAGCAGCAGGCGCTAACGCTTACGCTGGCGGCGGCGTTGACGCTGGTGCTCATCGCGGCGTTGCGCAGGAGAAAAACCTGGGGAGGCACAGAGCTCGCAGTGATGGACTGGTGTTTTCTACTAGAACATGCCAATCGCTGTTCATGCACAATGAGAGTCAGGGGACTCCATTTGGACGCAGAGACGCGCAGTCTGCTTTTAGTTAACGCGCACTCTGCGGATTGTTATTGTTCAACAACAGGAGGAATCTCCCACCGGCACTACCTTGAAGGTGAAGATTCTTGAAGCTAGGCGTAATTAGCCACTGAGCCACGAAGGAGCACCTCCTTCAGCGTTCAAACGGCAAGCTATCCATATGTACTACTTACCACTGGTGATGAACATCTCGGGGTGAACTATCGTGTTTTCAACATTGCCAGCGAGATGGCGCAACGAGCGTGCGTCACCACATCGTCACGACGCGGCGGCGCGTGATCTCATCTTCAACGCGTACTTTGCCCGGCGGAGAGAGGGCAGGGTGGACGCTCACGTGTGCGCTTGCTTATTTCGCGGTTGGGACAATTTTACGCCTCGGGCTTTCACCGGAACGATACTGTTGTAGTTTTTTATTTTTTTTTTAAATTTACAGATACTGCTGTCTCATGTTTGAGACATTGCAGGAGTGGTTACAATAAACGAACGAAAACAGCAGAAATAAAAAACATAAAGTTACGTAATTAGACACCTGTTCAACAAACAATAAATGATCAAGCAAAAGGAACAGCAACAAAATTAAGAACATCAAATTACATAATTGGACACTTGTTCAACAAACAGCGCATGCGGTAATCATTTCAAAGTAGTGTCCATATTATTCCAAGTGTCAACTGTGCACGGAAAAAAAGGAGTATTTATAACAATCAATAAAACATCTGAATAGCACTATGTTCAACGGATTGTATCGGCGAGTCACATGGGTAGGCTGATTGGTGAACGAAATGGGTGTGGCTATGCGGACGGAATTGTGCACGATGTTATTTAGCATGGTAAGCCGATCACACATACGTCTACATGTGTTCTAAACGGTTTAGCAATAAAGCATGGTAGTGCTCTGAAGGGGAGAAATCACGGTCATAACGGTTAAAAATGAATCTAATCGCTTTTCTCTGGATGTTCTCAAGTTTATTTATGTCAATTGTTGCTGACCACACAACAGACGCATATTCAAGAAGGGGCCTGACTAGTGATTTGAAGGCTATAAGCTTGCATTCTTTTGTGGCGCCCTTTAGCGTTCTTCTTGAGTAACCTAATTTCTTAAGCGATTTTGCAGAAATAAGGTCGATGTGTTTGTGCCACTTCAAGTTTGGAGAGAATACAACACCAAGATACTTAAATTCCTGAACTTTTTTCCAGTGTGTGATTGGAGTCGCCATACCTAAATTGCAATGGCTCCTTTTTAATTGTAGAAGTTATGGTCACGGTTTTCTGAGAATTAAGCTCCATTTGCCAAGTTCAACCCCCATTCATTGGCGAAATAACTTATGCAGCCATTCGTGAAAGGAAGAAAACACATCATTCTACAAAACTTGGTCAGTGAAGCTACGTACATTGGAATACAATACACATTCATCGGCGTATAGGCGAAGCTTAACTAGAGTGGTAAAGACAACCTGAGTGACATCGTTAATGTAAATTATGAATAAAAGGGGTCCCAAGACAGAGCCTTGTGGAACACCTGAAGAAATATGAGCTTGTGACGACTGTTCGTGGTTGTAGCGAACAAACTGACCGGGCGCACAAAGGTCTTTGCAATCATTCCACAGTCTCTGTTTCCGAAAAGGGCATGCATTTCAGACACAGCAAAGTAACAACTGAGACGCTTATTCGCAATCATCTGTACCTGTGAGTACGTTTCGTGCGTAATTCGTGCGTTAGAAACGCGGGGCGCTTTTCGATCTGCTTGTCATTCTTTGTGTGTTCTTTCAATTTGTCGTTATCGCGTTCATTACTTGTCTTTTGCGGCAACTCTGTCACTTCTTTTTTTTTTTTCAACTTGCGCTACCCAGTCGTTTCACTTTGTCGCCGTTGTCCTATGCAGTTAACAAACTTAATTAGTATGCATATCACCGAGCTCATGATTGCGTCCACTACGATCTTACACGTGCACCGCATTTTCGAGACTTACATGGCGTGCAAGTTTCGTAAGCACAGAACAATGAGTATACTGGTCAGCGTTATTTTTTCTTTTGTTCCTGTACATACTGAGAGCGTAGCTAGTGTTGCATCTGCGGGAACATTTTCGTGTAGATGAGCGTTCCAATGGTATGATGATATAATAGATAGCCTTAATTTTTTACGCGAGCATCTTTCAACATGCGCGTATACGTCGGGGAGGTTGCAGTTAATTCTGTAGTTCCGGCGCTTTCCAGGCTGTGCTTATCTTGGTCTGCCATCCACGTTCCGTTAGCGTTGTCGATAATCCTGCTTGAAGTTAGGGAGCTTTAAAAGTGAACGATCAGAAGCTGCCAGCGCTTTTATATCCTGCGCATGTAGAAACTTTTAGTTAGTACGCAGGCGCAGTTAGTACCAACGTTTTGTTCCTGTTTGGTGCGTACGGCATTTGCATAGGGCATTCTTTTTACAGCGAAATCTGTTATGAGATCATGACAAGAATCGTGTGTCCGCCGGCGCCGCCGCTGCCGGTGTGCGTAACCTTTATCGCGCAAAATAGGAAGAATAAAAAAAACAAAGTTAATAAAAACACAAAGGACACGATGGGATTCGAACCCAGGTCCCCTGCGAGCCTGCCAAGCATTCTACCACTGCATGAACTACGCTGGTGCTTGAAACTCTTTTGCTAACTGATCCTAGGCAGGCTTTCATGTCGGGAAACGAATCGCGTTAGCATGAGCATTAAAAGCGTTGTAGACCAGCCAGCGAATAACCAGGCGTCAGACAATGCGAATTGCGTTACGAGTGGGTTGTCCAATGCTCCGACTCATTACAAAAGATTCAGGCATAATTCTTCATCGTCAGCCACAGCTTCAAAAAAAAAAAAAATTCACGAAACGCCTTGCCATTGTGCAGCGGGTACCACGCTTCTCCGAAGAATGGCGAAGAATGATGATGATTGTGAATTTTTCCCTACGACACAAAAATTATGATGAATCATGGTGTAGTGGGTACCCTGCAAGTGCGGTTGTAGCAGTTAACCCAAGAGTTTTCAGAAAAGACTCTGAAAGGCCGCTCTTCCAGCTTTCACTGTGACTGTGCTGTGCATTGCGCCCAGGCCTGGTTTTTTTTTTTTTGCTTGCTGTTTTGAAAAATGTATATTTGTTAATATTACTTTTTGGTGGTGTGTTAGGAAATTGTAGTTTTGTTAAGAGGATTTGACAATTCATTCAAACAAGCTTCTTCGACGCGCCTGATCCCAGACAGTGCGCGAAAAATGAACAGTGCCACTCGCTTCTTTTACATAATGGTTGCTTCCTGAAGGATTACCACGTAATACTGAAGCCGTGTATAGTCTAAGCAAACATTGTGGTATAGTTGTAGTTTCCAGCACCATGTTTGTCGCAAAGGTGCATTTTTAAGTGATGTGAAACAACGAGAGAATGCGCAACCATAGAAAGAAATAAATCCGTGATACTGATATTTCATTCAATGTAACAAGTTTATTATCAGCTTGTTCCAGTTCAAAGAGAAATACGAACACTGGTTATGGCAAGACAGAAATGTTGAGAGTTTTCGATGCAGTGCTTTCAAACAGTACACTGCTGATTTTCTAAATGTCCTCTTTGTTTCCCACTTTTCAGGGTACAATAATAAATGCCTTCACAATAGGTAAGTTGTTTTGCGAAAACTCTGTAATAAGAATGCAAGCGTTTTCGACGTTCACTTATAATGTAATTACGTATAGACGTAAAGTGAGCACTACCAGAAGAAACCGCTTTCTGATGTCGTTAGCTTTTAATGATATAGTTTTTTTTTATGCAGCCGAAGTTGACGCAGAGTACCCCAGAGATACCCAAAAGTTACTAGTGAAGGATTGCGCTTGGAATCGTCCCGTCTGACAAAAAGAAAGAATTGATGTCGATGGCTTGTCACTATTTTCCTAGTCTCTCAATTGCAAGGATTATTGGAGGACTATACTATTTTTCAGAGATACGCTATAGTCCTCATATTATTCACTTAAAGGTATGCCGAAAGCACTTTCAACTCTATATAGCGAACGGAAAACATTCCGAGCCAAGTCTAGTGCTTCCTACGAGCGCTACCAAGTCGTTGGTTCTTGTCCCAGGCATAGAGTTTCCTAATATACACTAGAGGGAACTCTGGCGCTAGTGTCTATGGGAGCTGCAACGCACGGTGCTTCTGCGAGCATGGGTATGATGGGTAGTACACTCATTTGTCTAATCTTCGTACTTCTGGCCTGCTTTGGGCTCCATGTGTGTTCGTGTGGCTTGGAGCTGTTTTCTTACGAAACAAAAATCAGCAAATGTTCAGCGCTTCACCACCTTATTCTTTTAGACTTACCTTTCGGAATCGGGTCATGAAGTTCAAAAGGGTTGAATCTTTCTTTCAAAACAAAACTGAAACAGAGCAATAAACGAAGCCGCAAGTACGAAAAATAGGCAAATCCGTGCACTACCCATCATTTTCATGGTCGCTGAACGATCGCAGCGCCAGAGTCCCCTCTCGTTAATGTTAGGAAACTCGGTGGTCCCAGGTGGTCGGAAATTTCTTAGCCCTATAAGCAACGGTGCTTCTCATAATCATATCGTGCTTTTGGCACGCAAAGCACCAATTATTACAATTCATTGCTATGATGAAAAAAAAACGACTAAGTCACAAAGTTAGATGTGATCGGAAAGTAAGCGTATATGAACGGTGCACGTGTCTTCGTATGCTGCAGGTCCAAGTTTGTATTTTTTGAACAACGTGGGAGCCATCGGCCTCCCGAACTTGGGTCTGCTCGAGTGCCTTGTGTTCAGCTCTCTCATCTCGGCCGTTGATCCCGTAGCCGTGAGTTGAACGTCTGCCATCTTTTCTTTTTGTTTTTTTTTTTACATCGATAGCTTATGAGATTACAACAAGAGTCCCGTGCACCGTAGTTGTCCGCTAGGTGCCGCCGCCGCCGGTGTCCGTAACCGCTATCGCACGAAATAAGAAAACAAAATAAATGAAAACACCAAGGACACAATGGGATTCGAACCCGGGTACCCTGCGTGCCAGCCCACTATTCTACCCCAAAACCGCCCCGGTGCTTCGAAACTTCGCTACAAACTGACCTTAGGCAGGCTTGATGTCGGGGAAAGGAATCGCGTTAATATGAGCAATATAGCGTTTTAGAACAGCAAAGGAACAGCCAAGCTTCACATAATACGAATTTAGTTCGGAGTGAGTCGTCGAATGCCCGAACCCATTATGATAGCCTCACGCTTAATTCTTCTTCGTCGTCAGTCACAGCATAAAAAATTACACCAAATTCACTGCAAGTGTGTGGCGGTTACCACGCTTCTCGGAAGAGTGACGAAGGATGGCATAGTGAATGCCTCCCTACTACACAAAAATTATGATGATTTATGGCGTGGTGGGCACCCTGCAAGTTTGCTTGTAGCAGTTATCCAAATAGTGTTTTAAAAAAGGCTCTGAAAGCCCGGTCTTGCAGCTTTCGCTGTGACTTGTGCTGCGCATTCCGCGCAGCATAGTCATACCGCTCGTGTGTGACCTACCTGTGACTCACCCCCGTATTCTAGAACGTCCCTTCACTCAACGCTTCACCTTCACTTGAGAAAGCCAATGGAAGCGCCGTCTCTAGGCACGGCAACTCACTGCCTATCAGTGATAATCTGCTGCGATTCTTAAGTAGCGCAGCGTCATTTTCAGCCGAGCGGTGGCGCAGTACTCAACTCTGTCAAGTGAATGGTGGAAGTCGAGTCGAGGAGCGTTTGTGAATACAGGGGTCAGTGTGTCATTTTTCGTCTGCAATTCAGCGAGTCGCCCCCGCAGGGGCGCCTGCGCAAGTAGGCGTTTGGTGTGTAGCGACACCACGGACCCGAGCTAACGGGGGAGTTTCGACTCCCTCCCACGCCTAGCCGTGCGTGGCTTTGCCGTGTCCGGGGAAAAGGGGATCCTGGGGGTTGAGCTGACGCTGGGTGATTGGACCTTTAAGGCCCCCTGGCAGAGGCAACACACCTCTTTGGCCCCGGCTTCACGTAGACGGCACCCCTGGGCTGACCCACCCAGGGGAAATCGGCAGTCGCCTTTTCCTATCTCTCTCTGCCTATATCTTCGTCTTTATCTCTCACTATCCATCTGTCCTGTCTTCTACTCTCTTCTGTTTACTTCCAATTTTCCTGACGGCAAGGGTTAACCCTGTGCAAATAGCCTACCTTGGTCTAGGCGCATTGGGTTATGGCAGTGTTGTACGGCTGACGTCTGCAAGCTTTCAGCACCTGTAAACTTGCAGCGTCCCCTTGTTGGGCTCCGTGGTGGGTGGCCGCCAACGCTGCTGAACAAACATAAGACCGGCATGCATGGCGCATTCCCTCTACTACCTGATCGTACCAGCCTAAAGCGGGTACGCACCGACGACATAAATCTCTTCAACCAGCCAATAGAAACTTTTCCCCACTTCCACGTCATTCACTGCGAAAAAACCGGAAAGCAAGCCAGGACCGTATCTCCTTTCGTAGTTGCCAGGTGTCTTACGGAAACTCTCGGGGCTGGATACAAAGTAACCAAAATGGCGAGCGGAGACCTTCTTCTAGAAATTCGGGACAAAGCACAATTTGTAAAGCTAAACAGCCTCTCAACGTTTGGTGACGTACCGATCACCGTAACACCACACCGATCCATGAACGTCACTCGCGGAGTGGTATCTGATGCAGACTTACTTGAGCTCACCGAGACTGAACTTTTGGAAGGGTGGAAGAGCCAAAATGTAAATAATGTACAGAGAATTATCATCAGAAGAGATAATAAGGAAATACCAACGAAACACTTGATACTCACGTTTGCATCCAGTAAACTACCAGATTCCATTCAAACAGGGTACACAAAGACATCTATCAGGCCGTATATACCAAACCCTCGTCGTTGCTTTCAATGCCAGAAGTATGGCCATGGCTCTAAAACCTGTCGTGGTCGCCAGACTTGTGCACAATGTGGAGTCCTAGGCCACGTGTCTGAGAACTGCAAACAACCGCCACACTGTGTAAACTGCGAAGGAAACCATGCCGCATATTCACGCTCCTGCACATACTGGAAAAAAGAAAAAGAAATAATTACATTGAAGGTGAAGGAGAACATTACGTTTAAGGAAGCACGGTGAAGAGTCGCTCCATTCTATGGACCTACATACGCTGATGCGGCGCGTCAGGGAGCACCGCCGCACCAGCCCTTGCCACCCCTTCGACCCGCGCAGAGCGAGCCGTCGGCTGTGGCACCTGCCCCCAAGGCGGCTGTAGCCCAGGCTACACCGCCTACTCCCGAACAGAGACCGAAGACTCCAGAGTCTTCGGGCCTCAAGGCCTCCCCTCACCAGGCGAGGCCCAAAATCCGAACTAACAGCCCGCACGTGCGGGCATCCAGTGCCTCCGAGGAGGCAATGGATACGTCGGCACCCTTGGTGCCGAAAGAGTGGCGTGGCTCCTTGAAGCGCGCCAAGAAAACAAAAAAGCAAATAACAGGGCCTGGTGACGGCCCTGTTAAGTGAACTCAAACTCCCCGTCTAAACAGCCACTCGCTTTTCGTACACACAGCATTATTTTACATTCACCATGAACACTCAAATTATACAATGGAACGTCAGAGGCCTTCTCAGAAACCTTGACGACATCCAAGAACTCTTACACGAACACTCACCAAAAGTGCTGTGTGTACAAGAAACACACCTTAATTCAAAACACACAAATTTTCTTCGTAAATACGTTATTTTCCGAAAGGACCGTGTTGATGCCATGACATCATCCGGAGGTGTTGCCATTATAGTGAATCAAGGAATTGCATGCACACACATACAACTCCAAACATCCCTTGAGGCAGTGGCTGTTCGAGCAGTTCTTTTTGATAAACTGATCACAATCTGCACTATTTACATTCCTCCTAGCTATCAGCTACAAAAACGTGATTTACACTCTCTAATTGATGAACTTCCGGAGCCTTATGTTCTCCTTGGAGACTTTAATGCGCATAGCAGGCTATGGGGTGATTCTCGGTATGACGCGTGAGGTCGACTGATCGAACAGTTCCTTCTCTCGTCAAGCGCGTGTCTCCTGAATCGAAAAGAATCAACCTATTATAATCTCGCTAATAACACCTACTCCTCCATAGACCTAAGCATAGCATCTCCATCTCTTGTGGCTCTACTCCAGTGGAATGTCGTCAGTAATCTGTACGGAAGTGACCACTTCCCCGTAGTTTTGAGCACAACTACAGTAACCGAGTGCTCACCACGTGTTCCCAAGTGGCTAATAAACAGAGCCGACTGGGAACAGTTTTATACTATCGCTCGTCTAGGTTGGAATGACATCTGTGCTTTGAACATTGATGTTGCTGTGAACTACTTCACAGCGTTTTTGATTGATGCTGCAACAAAATGCATCCCACAAACAAATGGACACCCTGGAAAACGACGTGTGCCATGGTGGAACTCTGAATGCCGAAACGCGCGCAAACAGCAAAACAGAGCTTGGAGGCTGCTTCGGAACTCACCGACAGCCGAAAATCTTGAAACCTTCAAGAAAATGAAGTCTCAAAGCAGGAGAACGCGTCGGCAGGCCAGAAGAGAAAGCTGGCAGAAGTTTTTATCAGGGGTTAATTCATACACACAGGAGGCTAAAGTCTGGAACATGGTCGGTAGGATAGCAGGAAAACAAGTACACACACTTCCCCTCGTAAACACTCAGGGTGATACCTTGGAAGATCAGGCAAACTTCCTCGGTGCACACTTCGAACAAGTATCCAGCTCGTGCCACTATACTGACACTTTCCAAAAATACAGAACAAGAATAGAAAAGCAAAAACTCGAACACAAATCCACTAGATACCAGGCATATAACCAAGCTTTCAGTCTAGCTGAGCTCCAAACATCTCTAAACTCGTGCAGTACTTCTGCCCCAGGTTCTGACCGTGTGATGTATGAAATGTTAAGAAACCTACCAAACGAAACCCAAAAAACCTTACTTTGTTTGTACAATGCTATTTGGTCTTCTGGCACTATTCCTACCTCCTGGAAAGAGGCTATTGTTATTCCCATTTTGAAAGAGGGCAAGGACCCTTCTTTAGCTTCAAGTTACAGGCCTATTGCACTTACAAGCTGCTTGTGCAAAGTCTTCGAAAAAATGATAAACTGCCGACTTGTACACTTTCTTGAAACTAACAATTTGCTCGACCCATTTCAGTGCGGGTTTCGAGAGAGTAGATCCACGACAGACCACCTTGTTCGTATCGAGGCACAGATCAGAGACGCCTTCATCCATAAACAATATTTTCTCTCTGTGTTCCTCGATATCGAAAAGGCTTATGATACAACATGGCGTTTTGGAATTCTAAGAGACCTATCCCACCTTGGCGTGCGCGGAAGAATGTTTCACATAATCAAAAGTTACCTGTCAAACCGGACATTCCGTGTCCGAGTTGGCACGGTTCTTTCCCAAACATTTGTCCAGGAAACAGGCGTGCCACAAGGTGGTGCACTTAGCTGCACACTTTTTCTCATAAAAATGAATTCCTTGCGCTTGACCGTCCCTCGCAATATATTTTATGGTACATATGTCGATGATGTCCAGCTTGGCTTTAGGTCTTGCAATCTGGCAATGTGTGAGCGGCAGGTTCAGTTAGGTTTAAACAAGCTCTCCAAATGGGCAGAGGAAAACGGATTTCGACTGAACCCACAAAAAAGCACGTGTGTCCTGTTCTCCAGAAAGAGAGGCATGCACTCAGAACCCGACATTGAACTGAACGGTCAACGTCTGTCTGTTAATACGAAGCATAAATTCTTGGGATTAATCTTGGACAAC